ATTGCATTTCTCTCCTGGTGGGGATTACTACTTCTGCGAGAGCCCGGGCTTCAAAACCATAAGCGAAGCCAAAAGGAGTGTCACCCGTGGCTCTCCTTGGAGTCGTCCTGTATGTCCACAGGATTCTGGGTAGTTCATCTACCCATTTACTTCCCTCTGAAAGTAGCTTCTTCTTTATTCCGTCAATGATTGTCCTGTTAACATTCTCCACTTGTCCGTTAGCCTGAGGGTAGGCAACAGACACCTTTGTATGCTGAATTCCCCAAGTTTTGAGAAAGTCTTGAAACTCTGCTTCCTCAAACTGGGTTCCATTGTCCGATATGATCTGCTTCGGGACCCCAAATCTACAGAGTATATTGGTTCCAACGAAGTCGATCATCTGCCTTCCGGTGATCCCCGCAAGCGGCTCGGCCTCCACCCACTTTGTGAAATAGTCTATCGCCACCACAATCCACCTTGCCTGCCCAGCTCCTTTTGGCAGGGCTCCCACAATATCGATTCCCCATCTCGAAAAGGGAATCACAGAGATGATGGGTGTGTAATTTGTGGCTGGCCTCCCGGGTATATTCTGGAACTGTTGGCAGGTCAGGCACTTGCGTACATATTCTTCGCAATCCTTCCTCATCGTTGGCCAGAAATACCCCTGGATAATAGCCCTTCTGGAAATGGAGTAAGGACCCTGATGTGCAGCACACACTCCTTCATGTATTTCTTCCATCAATGCCTTCGCCTCTGCTGCTCTGAGGCAACGGAGTATAACACCGTTATAAGACCGCTTATAGAGGACTCCATCCTTCACCTTGTAGGTTGGCGCCCTCATTCGTAATAGACGTGCTTCTTGGGGATCCTCCAGGGCTTCACCGTCCTCAATGTATTTGGCCAATCGGTCCAGCCACTCTGGGGGATCAGCTGATACCGAGATCACTTCACTACTGTTAAGACTAGGGGTTACCAGCTCTTCGATGGTTGCTAACTTGCTTATGTATTCCGGTGACTCTGCGCTGAGCTTGGAGAGAACATCAGCCTCCGCATTCTGGGCCCGGGGAATATGTTCAAGCTTAAACTCAAACCTTCCCAACATCTCTAAGGCCAAGTCCCGGTATCTTTTCATCCTCTCTTCCTTTGCTTCAAATTCCCCCGTGATTTGTCCCACCACTAATCGGGAGTCGGTGTAAACTTGAACCCTGGATACTCCCATCTTACCAAGAATCTTCAATCCATTGATCAGGGCCTCATATTCAGCTTCATTATTGGACACGCGGAACTGAAATCTGATAGCGTAATAAATCCAGAATTTTTCTGGGGTGATCAAGACGATACCTGCTCTGCAAGATTGAGACCCAGAAGATCCATCGATGCTCATTATCCACCAATCCTTCTCCTCCCGAGTTTCAACCTGGGCTCTTGTCATTTCTCTAGCGGTGCACTCGACTTGAAAGTCGGAAAGTGCTTGCCCCTTGATGGATGGGCATGGCCTGAATTCCACGTTATACTGACTGATAAAGACCGCCCACTTGGTCATCCGGGCAGATGCCGCCGGTGTTAGAATAATAGACCAACGCTAGAGGGGGGGTGAATAGCGTTTGATCGGAGAAATCGCAGGAATTAAAAAAATAAAAGAAAAGTAAAGAGAAGAGTAAAAGGCAAACCGAATTTACCCTGGTTCACCACAACTTGTGGCTAATCCAGCCTCCCGAGAGACTCTCTCGAGCTACACTACTATCTCGTTAAGCTTGCGGGTGCTTAACAAACCGTTACAACTTGAGAGTTCGAGTCACACGATCCTCGACGAATCCTTCAAAGGAAACAGACCTTCCTTTGAATCAACCAAGAGAGATACTATCTCTCAACGTGTCTAAGAACACAAGTACACTCAAGAACGAGACTCTCTTATAGAGTAGATTTTGAGTAAACTAAGTACGCTCAAGAACAACTCAACCTTCACACAAAAATGGCTTTAGAAAGCTAAGGAAAATGATGATATTTGAATGCAATGAAAGTATAGATATTTTGAAGTGAATTGGTAAGAAAAGCAGACCCAAACACCCCTTTTTATAGTGCAAAAATAGGCTCCAACGGACCAATGCATTAAAGGGGTGATTAGCTTGA